TCCGCCGCCCCCCCCCCCCCCCCCCCGTTACGGAAAGGATGTGGACACATTGAGATAGTCCAGTGGAAGGCAACAAAATGATTAGGAGTCTGGAGCACATGGTTTATGAGGAAAGGCTGAGGGATTTGGTCTTATTTAATCTACAGAAGAGAAGAATGAGGTGGGATTTGATAGCAGCTTTCAACTACCGGTAGGTGGGTTCCAAAGAGGATGGAGAGAGGCTGTTTGCAGTAGTGACAGATGACTGAACGGAGCAATGGTCTCAAGTTGCAGTGAAGGGAGGTCTAGGTTGGATATTAGAAAACAACAATTTCACTAGGAGGGTGGTAAAGCACTGGAATGGGTTACTAGGTAGGTGGTGGAATTTCCATCCCTAGAGGTTTTTAAGTCCCAGTTTGACTAAGCTCTGGCTGGATGATTTAGTTGGGAATGGTCCTGTTTTTAGCAGGGGATTAGACTTGAGGACCTCCTGAGGTCTCTTCCCTATGATTCTATGGGTACGTCTAGACTGGAGGCCTTTGTCGACAGCGGCTTTGTCGACAGATACTGTCGACAAAGCTTCTGTCGACAAAGAGTGTCTAGATTAGAGCCAGTTCTGTCGACAAAGCAGCTTGCTTTGTCGACATGAGAGTGTAGATGCAAAGGACAGTGTAGATGCACTAACGCCTTCTGTCGACAGAACTCTGTCAACAAAAGGCGTTATTCCTCGTAGAATGAGGTTTACTGACATCGACAAAACTGCCAAGTTCTGTTGACATTATGTCGATAGAACTTGGCGGTAGTGTAGACGCAGGTATAGTTTTGTCGACAAAAGTGCACTTTTGTCGACAAAATCCTGTAGTCTAGACACATCCTATGACTCCAGTTCCACAGACTAGGTTTAGGGCCCTGTGGAAATCCTATTTTTTTAAAACAAATTCATGGCAATGTAAATGGGCAAGTATTGAATGTCATAGATTATGCACAGAATAAATGTAACTAGCAAACTTAGTCAATTTTAATAATAGAATGAATTTCATCAACAAACATAGTCTGTCTGCAGAATACTGATTACATTTGAAAGTGACATTCAGTCATTTTTTTGTAATTGACTAAGCTTGCTACTAATTCATTCCATTCTTCACATTGACTAAGTTTGCACACAGCAGTCAGCTCTTCCATAAGAAATGTGCACTCACTGTAAGGTAAGATTTTAAAAATTGCAGTTTGTAGGCATTTTTTGTGATTCCCATGACCTCCATGAAATTGTGATTTACCTAGCACCCTAGTTGTTAGACATCGTTCTGTTTTACAAACATTTTAAGGTAAATATTTTTTAAAAATTTACACTCAGGGTCCTATCCCATATGTCTTTGGCAGAGGTTGTTAGCGCATAGCTAAGTTGGAGTCTTCCCTTTAACATGGACTCAGCTAGTTCCATTGTCTATGAGATAGTTGGTCTTCTCAACAGACAATCATGCTGGGAGTGACTTTTCTCTCTCTTTCTGTCACTTGTCTTTGAGTCTAGCAAATTGCCTGAAGATGATTCTCTGTTTCTCTGTATGTTTTTTGCCGTCTGTCACGGGGTTCTCTGCCTGTGCCCCCTACCTGGGCGGGTTTCTCCCCCCCACAAGGTTCAGTGCCTCCTATCTGGGGGGGTCTAAATATGGCCCAATGGCCAGGTCTCCGATGCCCCATCTGAGGTAAATATGGCCCGGTGGCCGAATCTGTATTGCCCCCTGGCTGGGATAGATATGGTCCAGTGGCCGAGTCTCTATTGTCTCCTGGCTGGGATAGATGTGGCCCAGTGGCTGAGTGTCTATTGCCCCTGGCTGGGGTATTTTTGGCCCAGGGGCCAAGTCTCTAATGTTCGCTAGCCTTGCTCCCTTTTCAGGGTTGCACGGGTAGGAGGTAGGGCAGTCCGGGCCCACCCTCTCCCCTGGGCCCCATCCCACAGTCCTATCAGCAGTGGGTGGTCCTCACCACTGGCTTGGGGGGACTTGCTCCCGAAGCAGAACAAGCTCTCTGGAGTGCCTTCTGCTCCCTGCCCTGGGCTACTTCCTACCCTGGACTGTGGGTCAACAGTGTCCCCATTTGGTTCTGCAAAGGTGGTGGTGGTGTCAGAGGCTGTGGCGACTATGGTTGGCATGGCAGCTACAGATGGTGCAGCGGCGATGGCTGCAGATCAAGGCAGGCGTGACAGTTGCTGCGGTTCTGGCTGGCTCAGCGGCAGGCGTGGCGACTCTGGCTGGTGAAGCAGCTCTGGTTCCAAAGCCAGCTCTTGCTGACCTCGGCAGGGTAATTGCTCCCCTGCTTGAGCAGAAGCTCCTTCCTCTTCCCTGGTCAGCCCTGAATGAGCTGCTCCTGCGGCCTTTATACTGCCCCTGGAGTTGGAGCGTGCCAGCAGGGCTGTGGGGGAGAGGACTTCCCAGTACAGTAGGCCTGGTTAACCCCTCACTGGCCAGTGCAGGGTTGATACACTGGCTCATATGTCTTTTCCCCCTCCCTGGCCATCACGCTGGCTCATATGTCTTTTTTTCCTTCAAATTGTTTGTCCCTCTTGCATAATCATCTTGCATGATCTCCATACCACTGCACTCCTCTTGATCCCTTTAGTCCATTCTTT